AAACTGCTTTAAATATGCAAAAAAAGAAGAGAAAAAAAAACAAAAAGCGTATAAACATTAAGGTACCGATGTAAAATTGACAGTATAACGACATAAAAATAATCAAAAATTTGGTCGTTTAGCTAAACTGACTACCAACTTAATTAAATGGTTAACTAAACATAGATTTTAAAAAAGCAGCAAAACCGGAACAGTTCTCATTTCTCACCAATTATCATGCTTCTGATTCTGTTGCAGGTTCTATTTTTTTTTCCCCTTTGTTACTATTACAGGTTTTTTTTAGCAAATACTAACCAGTCAGTATAATCACTAAAATATGAATTTTGAACATGAAAAAGAAGTAAAACTGTATTATTTCATGCATATTAATCTAATGTTAAAATAGAAGCACATTGTGTACTGCTGAATGGCGTATTTCAGTAAAACCATTAATGCTTTAAGAAACATATTATTACAAGAAAGGTCTTTTTTCTGTTGCTTTGAAGAAAATTCAGATTTAAATTTTTAATTGTAATTTTTCTCATACGCTTTAATGATTGCATTTCTCAAAGAATTTATCTGCAACCAAATCACAGCTAAAAAAGGCATTATTTTTGTCACTATTTTTGCCTGAGAATCACCATCTGTTTCTTCAGCTCAGTGAAATCAAAGCAGCAGCTAAACTTTCAGTAGATTTGCCGTTTTTAGATGAATACCACTGAAACCAAACAAGTGATTTCGTGAGAAATGGCAGGTAAATGAAGTGAAATTAACAAACATGCATGTGTTTATATCAGATTACCTAATAATAGTAGCTAAATGTACCGTAAATTGCATTTTTCACTCCTTTCATTGTCTCACTAATTTTATAAGATTATTCATTGAGGACGAATAATAAACACCATAGATAAGCAGGTTATTGTCTGTCATAAAAGGTAGTTTATTGCCTAACTGATAATGGAAATTGAATACAAAGTTTAGCATCTTTTTAGCCTTAATACAGAAAAAAGAAAGTCAAGAAGAGACTTTCACTTAATTTTAGGAGTTTTCAGTCACTTTTTTAAGTTCTTTTTGTTCTTTTTGTTTTGAGCTTAAAAAATTGACAGATTTTTCCAATTTTTTTTCAAAATGATAAGCATATTCAATTAAGAGAAAAAAAATTAGACCAAAAAAAGCATATGACTGGCTTTAAGTAACGCGTTTTAAGGTTGTTACTGAGATATCATTTTTTTTTTTTTTGTTGGTATTATCAACTTGTTGATATGTCCAAAACATAATCGGTGTTCAATGAGCTTTATTTGTCCACATCTAACACAATTTGTGTTATACCAGTAGAATATAAACAAAAAAAAAAGTCAGACTTTGGTTGCACTTTTAGACAAGCGGTCATGAAGCAATTGAGTAGTGCATAGTGTCGTCATAACCATCAACTTATTTGCTGTCGCACTTTTTTTTTTTTTTTTTATATATATATATATTAATATTCAGAAGAACAAAAATAATACAAAAGAATTTCATCTTCAAAACAATCTTTATCAATCAAATTCAATAATTATTGATTGTCAAATAACTATTTAAAGCTAATTTTAGTGATAATCGGAAACCCCATATTATCATTCTTTTGTCGCACCATCTTCTAAGCCTTCCGTTTTGGCAAATTTTCTTGTTGCTAAACTGAGTGACAAATGCTCATTCATCATTTTCTCAATCTAAACAATAGTTTAGTCTTCTAATAACTATATTTATAATACCGTTTGTAATGTTTTTATGTTACACTTATTTACGGTACAAAAATAAAACAAATGTTAAAACTGATTAATACTGGGACATAAATAGTTTTTTTCAGTTGAATAAATACATTCTTCTTCAAATAAAGATTTTAAAAGAATGGAATTAGTGACTTCAAAAGCGATACAACCTTTTCAGAAAGAAATACTGCTTCAAATGAATGAAATACAAAAGCAATACAGTGTATTATAGTTTATAGCGGCAGCTTCAGAAAATTACTTACCAGCGAGGTTAAATACAATTTAAAAAAAAATTTGATGATGAGATATATACCACTAATTTAACGACAAGTGACAGTTCAAAGATTCTTACATGTCTGTTAATGGTTTGTTCAGTAGGTGGATTATAAGATCATATTCTTTGCTAACCAACAATGATTTCACCGTATTGAGGAAATGACTAAGTAAAGTGATTAATTTTTTGCTTTATAAGGAAGTTGTTAGGTAATGATTTTTTTATAATCGCTGGAAGAAGAAAGATCTTTGCGACGTTAAAAGTAAATGTAGCAGCACGTTTAACAGAAAAAAAATTCTTCAATTTTTTCTATTTTGAAGAAGAATAATGTCAGCACATAAATGAAAATTGCTAACTGAAACTGTTCGGAATTTGGTTCTAAAGCTTTTTTTTTTTAGAATTTACAATTACCCATTAAAAAATGGTTTTTTTATTACTGTGTAAGATTAGTTTCAATTAATAATTATCAACAGGCATTTTATAAGTTTTTCTTTATACTTTGACAACTAATTATTAACAGCTAATAGACAACAGAATGAATGCCTTATGAAATGCGTCAATTCTGTTGTCTTCAGTGCTACTGCTTCAACTGATCACCAAAATATCTATGTAAGGCAATTTTTGGTTTTTAGTTCTTTCTTATCTGTACACTAAAAAAAAATACCAGTTAAGAACCAAATCTGTAGTATGCTTTATTCTACCGCTTCTTCTTCTCACTGCGTACTTTTTCTTGCTTTGAAAAAAAGCTAACAATTAGTAGTTACTAATGAATGTTAACAAAAGAAAAAGTCAATTTTACTGTAATTGTTTCTTTTTTCTTTTTTGAATAACGTATTTAAGCCTACAAAAAATGTCTACGTAAACAGTAGCAGTTCAACAAAGTTTCAGAAGTCATCTGTTTTCAATAGCATTGTCGTCATCACCACAAACAACGTCGTCCAAACATTGTACTTTTCTTTTTTTCTTTTTCCAAAATGTTACGTCGTAAACTTAACCTTATCAATAAATGTAATTTCTGAAGAATAAATATCATTCTTCATATTAACATTACAGTCACTGCTTTACAACATTTTATCGCTGTTTTAAGCAGTGTGATTTTCACACGGTCATTGGGTTTGAAAATTTTTTCTCAAAGTCGACAAAATAATTCTTTTATTTTGTAAGGTATAATCTTTTGAGTTTTTTTAAAATATTTTAATTTTTACGAACAAAAATTATTGTTAAAATTGCAGAACATTTTAAGATTAGGTTCTTTGCATAGAATGCCACATTGGTACAAATTTTTTTGAT